CCCCTCATCATCTCTTGCCTTTCATCCCTCACTCTGTGACTCACCCCTTCACCTTCCCGCCCCGTTTCCCCCCCTCCCCCCCTCCCTCTCTGTTTTCTGTGTCAGTAGAACCCTTATGGTTACACAGATATACTGACTGTTGGCTGTGCCGTGGGGGTGGGATGCTGTTTTGGCACTCCACTAGGAGGTACTGTACATCTTCCACACTGCCTCTCAGCCACAACCTCTGCACCAACCGTCCTCCTGTACTGCATCAGATTCTTAGACCTGTTTGTTTCCCAAAGGGGACACATTATGCTTGTCTTTATTTCTTTACATATATAATATGTCTGATTTGTGAATTATTGAAAGTGAGCATTACTATTACAGTCACTGAAGACCAGTGACAAATATGCACTTAGTTGCCATTTTAAAAGATACACATGTGAGCAATCAAATAGCTCAAACAGGTCAGCCACACCTTCAGTGGAAGCAATATGTACTCTTACAATGTACTCTCCTCCAAACCAGTGACTGTGACCACAATGATAAACGTAAGTAAGCTCTGCGTAATTTCATGGTAATATTTCCCCATCTCACATTGTAAATACACTTTAGGCTAAATTATGGAGTGGATTAATCTTGCCTAGCAAGACTAAACTTAGTACTTAGTGCTTCAATTTACTTACAGTAAAATTATCTGTTTCCTGTAAAAACCTGACTTTTTACCCCCTTATTGCAGTGTACATGCCCTTAAGTATTTGTAGGTAAATATAATTACACTGTAATTTCAAATAAAATATATTGAATTTCCATTTTTATAAAGTGTTACTTGAAAGTTATAAAGAGTGTGAGTAATTCAAAGACTCAATACTGGCTCATATTAAAAATCAATAAATCCCCCTTAGTAACAGAGGTTAGACAGTTCAACGGTCCAATCAGCTGAAGTTAGTAAGCCAATAATTAAACTCTTCTAATCAAAAACTTTGTAAAGATCCCAGTTTTTTGATAGATCATTTACAGAACAGGTTAATAATCTCTTTATTAATTATCAGTGTGAACAATCATGAGCTGAAGTACCAACCAAAGTACAAAAGTCAACAAAACATCGAATGCTGTGCAAACGTTTTAGGCATTAAAAAAAAAGGGAAAGTTTCGAAGATAATGCCGTGAATAGTATTTAGTTAACTTTGACCACTTCTCAGCTTTTCAAGGTGTTTGTCAGGTAATTAGTCTGTCTCAGTGTCTCTTGTCTCTTCCTGTAATGCTGAGCTGAGGGGATTAAGGACAGACTGTCTTGTGCAGGGCCCGTTCTTACTGTCGAATGTGGCTCTTTTAATGACGGCGGCTTATTGTTTGGCCGTGTTGTCACGCTGCAGAATAATTTTGGGATGATTAAACTCTCCCCGAGGGCAGATGGGTGTGTGACAGATAAGAATCTAAACTTCTGAAATGCCTACAATTTTTGCACAGCACTATACTTAAGTCACTAGATGTATACAAAACAAACTAGAATGTATTTCCTGCTGACATGATGTTGGTCCCAAAATATGTTTTTTAAATCTTTTTTTAGAAGCTTCACACAGCTTTGATTATTGTTTTATAGCTTCACATGCTGATTATGTCTCTGTTTGTGTGTCAGAGAGCGAGACTACATGTAAGTGTGTGTTTAGCTGCGTTTGAATGTGTGTTAACTCCCCGTGGTTCTCCTGGTGTGCTTAATTACACCCTCAGCTTCAAGTGTTTTTGAATTCATTTTGTTGCTTTAACTCATAATACCGTCCTCTCTCTCTCTCTCTCTCCCTTCTCTTCCTCTCCTCTCCCTCCCCCTCATTTTCTCTCACTGTCCATCCTCATTGCTCTTCCTCTCTGTAATCCCTCCTCTCCCTCTGTCCTTCCTCCCCTTTTTTTCTGTCGATCCACCGTCACCAGGGGTGCTGTTTAGTATTGAGGTCACGTCTACCTACTTTGCGGTGAGGAATTACTGGCGGGGATACTTTGCCGCCACATTCAGTGCCTTCATATTCCGGGTGCTGTCTGTTTGGAACAAGGATGCTGGTGAGAAGGAGGAAATGCATATTCATCAGATACACACAAACTACTGATAAAAAGACAGCTGAGCTTGCTGTTTATTGAAAGTAGCTGAATATGACAGCTGAGTAATACTTGCTTCTTTACATAAACCTGAAATGTTTCAATACATCATCGCAGTCTTAAAGCAGCCCAGCAGCCCTGTAGCCTAAAATCCCTACAAGCTGCATTCAGGTGACCCTATCTCTATATTACAATACTAGATATTATCACATTTTCATATATTTATCTTTTCCAGTGTAATTTTATAAATAATATATAACTCAGAAAGGGGCGATCATTACATAGCCACTCTTACCCAAACAGATTTGGGGAAATCTTCATCTTTTAAAGTCTCAAACCTCAGTTTCATGGAATTTATGTTAAAATATTACAGAAATGTGCCTGGGTGAATTTTTTCTCTGTATTGCAAACGTAACCAGTTAGATTAGGTTAGATTTTTCAGAATACACTGTTCATAAATCTTCTTCACCGAAGCTCCGTTAATCAGTATTTACATTATTTAAGTATAATACTTCAAAGTATTTAAGTACCTCAAAGTATTTAAGTATCTGTAAGCTCTGTTTTCGTTGTTTTGGTTTTCAGGCCTGCAACTTTACTGTTTACTGCTCTTTTAATATACAACTAATGGACACTTTATTAGGCACACCTTGGTAGGGTTGGGCTGTTTTTACCTTCAGAAAGACTTTCATTTTTCATGGCATAGATTCACCAAATTTGGCCTGTGTTATTATGATAGCGTCACACAGCTGCTGCAGATTCATGATGTGAATCTCCCGTTCCACCAAATACCAAAAGTGCTGGATTGGATTGAGTAATGTTGACTGTGGAGGCATGTTTGAGAAGCAAGTTTGAGAGGATCTGAGCGTTGTAACATAGCACATTACTTACCTGGAAGCTGCCATTAGAAGATGGGTACAGTGTGGTCATGAATGGATAGACATGGCATGTAAAAATACTCACGTAAGCTGCGGTGATTAAATGATGCTCAGTTGTTACTCGTGTGCCAGGAAAATATCCCCCACACATTAAAACACCAACACCATTAGCCTAAACGATGATACAAGGCAGGACTGATCCATGCAATCGTGTTGGTTGCACTAAATTCTGACCCTAATGTCTGAATGTTATTATGCCAGACAAGGTTTTTTCAATCTTCCATTGTTCAATGTTGGTGAGGCCTCAGGTCCCTGTTTTTATTTGACAGGAGTGAAACGCAGTGTGGCCTTGTGCTGCTGTAGACTATCTACATAAAGTGCATTCAGAGATTCTCTTCTGCTCAAATAATCACTGGTTATTTGAGTTTCTGCTGCCTTCCAATCAGCTCAAAGCAGTGTGATCTTTCTCCTCTGATCTCTGGTATCAAGCAGCCAATCTCTGCAAACCCTGCAGGTGGTTGGATGGGAAAATTCCAGATCTCAGACCAGCTCGTACAGCACCAACAACCATACCATGTTCAAAATTACTTAAATCACTTTTCTTCCTCATTCTTACGCTCAGTTTGAACTTCAGCAGGCTGTCTTGGCCGTGTCTATATGCCCAAATGCACTGAGTTGCTGCCACGTGATTGGATGAGCCAATATTTGCACTAACAAGCAGTAGAACAGGTGTACCTAATAAACTGGCAGAGAGAGAGAGTTGTTTTTAAAAGTTAGGGAACCCATTGCATATTACATAGCAGCACATTGTGGACTGAAACAAGCCACATAAAGAATCATTTGTTTCCTTCAGGAGTTGATGGAGACATAAAAACAGCTAAGGGAGCTTAAATATCGGGCTCAAACTCATCAGGTGGACTGGAGTATTTGTTTTTTATTGTTATACTTTGTTTAATTTATCTTGTTGTCCCTGTTGTCAAAGTATTAGCATAGGAATGACAGACTGAGACCACATGTTCACTTGGTGTGAAACAGTTATTTCTCTCTTCCTCTCAGTCACAATCACAGCTCTCTTCAAAACAAACTTTCGGATGGATTTTCCCTTTGACCTTCAAGAGCTGCCTGCATTTGCAATAATAGGGTGAGGAGACTTTGTGAGCACTTGCATGCCTGCATGTGTTTGTGTTGAAATAATATGAGTCAGCAAGGTTCCTTTAATCTGCGATAGTCACGTAAAAGCTGCATCCTTGCTCCTTAACCCAGCTTTCTTTTGTCTTTCAGGATCTCGTGTGGCTTTTTGGGAGCGTTCTTCGTTTACCTGAACAGACAGGTGGTTCTCTTCATGAGAAGGCCTACGGCTCTTACACGTTTTCTAACCAAACAGTAAGATCCCCACACAGACGCAGAAACATAACAGAGACCTCCCCGCTGCTGTGGATTAATGTGGCGCTCAGCCCTTAAACTGCTGTGACTCTGGTAGCAGAAACTGTTTCTTGGAACTGAAACCATTTGTGCATTTAAATCCAATTCCTCTTAATGTTTCTCAGCTCCACTCTCCAAACTCATCAGTCTCACAACACTGGTCAGGACAGCAGCAAAGCCTTAACAACCTTTCAGCCAGTTATTCACTCAATGGGGAGATTCACTTACCCTCTGAGACTCAACAGTCAGGGAACATTAGTCTTCACCATTAGAGAAAAGAGAGTAGCAGCATCAAGAGAGCTCTACAATCAGCGCTGGTTCACACACACTGGTTATTTCTATGACAAGACAACTGTAGTCCACTGGGGATACGCTGCTTCTTTTAATGAACTCGTGTGTGTCTCCGTCTGTGTGTTGTCCCAGTCGTTTGATCTATCCAGGTGCAGTGACATTGATCATCGCCACCATCACGTTTCCTCCTGGATTTGGACAGTTTATGGCTGGAGAGGTCAGAATTCATCAATCTTGTTAATTCTCTGACTTTTTTCATGTTCATTTCTGGTGGTATTTTTTAAAACTTGATATGAATCAGGTGACTTTTCACTAAGTCCACAAACACTAAAACCTTATCTGTGAAAGTGTGGCTGTCTGTCGCATGATTGTAAATTAATAGGATTGTTCTTTTAATGTAAATGGACTGGAACATGTATAATTTGGCTGTAGCTCAGGTGGCAGAGCAGGTCAGCCACTAATCAGAAGATCAGTGGTTCGATCCCATACTGCCTCCTCGCTGCATGCCAAATATCCTTGGGCAAGATACTAACCCCATATTTGCCTACTGGTGGTGATCAGAGGGCCCAGTGGCGCCTGTGTCCGGCAGCCTCGCCTCTGTCAGTGTGCCCCAGGGTGGCTGTGGCTACAATGTAGCTTGCCATCGCCAGTGTGTGAATGGGTGAATGACTGAATGTAGTGTAAAGCGCTTTGGGGTCCTTACGGACTAGAAAAGCGCTATACAAATGCAGGCCATTTGCCATTTAATTTCTATTCTTCCTGAATATTTTTTAGACTACATGTCACATTTTAGGTTTTTTTTATTATGAACATGTAGCGTCATCAGGATGTGATGATTTTGTGTTTATGTAAACCTTGTTTAGGACTATTTTTTTTCCGTGTGTTTGTGTTTCCTCTTGCAGCTGATGCCTAGAGAGTGTATCAACTCACTCTTTGATAATTTCACCTGGACCAAAATCTCAGGATACCCTGCTCCCCCCGGCCTGGGTCGCTCTGCCGCGTGGCTTCATCCTCGTGTCAGTGTCTTTATCATCCTTCTCCTCTTCTTCATCATGAAGGTATCTCTCCCTCCTTGCCTCCTCCTCACATTGTGTATGGAGTGGGTGTTGCCTTGAAAAGCACTGTGTGCGATAGCGTGAAAAACCTCTGGGATCGGTCTCGATCCTACTTTGATCCTGTTTTTGTGTTGCAGTTCTGGATGTCAGCAGTTTCCACCACTATGCCCATCCCCTCAGGTGCCTTTATGCCGGTGTTCATATTAGGTAAGAGGATTTTGTAATGCGAGTCTCCTGCTGATCTTCAGTTCAATTTGTCTTTACCAGAGTGCCTTATCTCTCTCCTCAAGGAGCTGCTTTCGGTCGCCTTGTCGGAGAGATCATGGCCACTCTGTTCCCAAATGGAATCTTGTTTGATGGGATAGTCTACCGCATCCTGCCAGGAGGTTACGCTGTCATTGGTCAGTCTGTTAACCTTCCCCCAGGTCCCCAAAGGCTATTTGAAGAGTTGTAGATTTAAGAAAAGTTCTTTCCTTTTTTGGTGTTTTATATTCTCTTGTTCAAGCTGCAGATTTAGCAGCAGAAATCACCCCCAACATGCCAAATGATCAGTTTGTGTGCTAAAATAAACAAATTATAATTTAAAAAGTCATTACAAAATATCACATTTGATAACAACTGAGCCTTTTATAAGCCTTTTTTTAAAAAAACTAGATGTACTTTATCTGCCTCACAAGACCACTAAGCTCTTGACGGTCCTAAAGTTTTCTGATTCACTGTGTCATAAACAGTGTTGGTCAAGTTACTTGAAAAAAGTAATCAGTAACTAATTACTGATTACTTCCCCCAAAAAGTAATCCTGTTACTTTACTAATTACTTATTTTCAAAAGTAATTAATTACTTAGTTACTTAGTTACTTTTTAAAAACAGGATTTACAACCTGAATAGGTGATAAAGCATAGATCTTTCAGCCTAATTCTACTTTTTCTGCAAAATCCATCCTACAAAATGTAATCAAATGGAAAAGTCTCTTTTTAAAACTTGTTTTATTAGTTTTAATCTTTTAACTTTATGCATCAAGCAAACATTAAATTATATGCAACATTCTCTGACTGAAAGAAATTTGTTTAATATTTAAACCTATTTTCTGCACATTCCAGCACATAAAATATTTTTTTGTGTGTGTTTACACTCACTCTTTCAAATAGATGCAAGTAAAACACAGCAGAAAATAAATAAAGTCAAAGACTAGTGGTCCTGTTGCTCTTTCTTATAATTTCTTTAAGTAATCTTCAGGATGGTTCCCCTGCCTTTTGTCCCATTCTCTGTCAAGATGATCTCACACTGGTTCAATAATGATGAGGTCCAGGCTCTTCTATTTTCTATCCAGATATGCTGTTACTGCATTGGTGGTGCATTTGGGATCACTTTCATGCTGAAAAGTGAAGTTAGTGCCAATCAGACACTTTCCAGATGGTGTTACTTGGTGGTTCAAAATCTCACTGTGCTTTTCACTGTAAAATCCCCAACACCAGTGACTGACACGCAGCTCTGAACTATGACAGAGCCTTGTCAGTGTTTTACAGACGGCTGTAGACACTCGCTGTTGTACCTCTCTCCTGACCTTTTCTGTATATACAGTCAAGCCCATAATTATTCATACCCCTGGTAAATTTTGAGTTAAAGTTACTTTTATTCAACAGGCAAGTGGGTTTTTTTGACCAGAAATGACACAGGCGTCTCCCAAAAGATGATTAGACGATGAGCAAGAGGCATCATCCTGGGAAAAAATAAATAAATAAATCATCATTTCCAGTCAAAAAAACAAAACAAAACAAAAAACTTGCTGGTTGAATAAAAGTAAATTTAAGTCAAAATTTATCAGGGGTATTAATAATTATGGGCTTGACTGTACAGATGATGATTTGACCCAAAAATTTTAATTTGGATTCATCAGTTTCATTTATCTCAGCCTTTTCTCCCCGTTTCCCTTCCTTAATAATGGCTTCTTGACAGCCATCCTTCCTCTGTGTCCATTTTTGCTTCGGTGAACAGAAGATGATCATCTGAAGGGCATGAAGGACATTTATCAGGTCCTGTGTCAGATTGTTACTGAATATTTTCCTCTTTATTAAGGGCATGACTTTCAGATAGACTTCATGTCTGGGTTATTTGGGGCATTTTTTTGCAGATTGAACTCAAGGTTGCTAGTAACAAAGTGTCTAAAGATACAATTTAAAATTGACTCTTTGCTAAGTTGTAGATAGAAACAGGTTTATTTGGTGTCTTTTTTAATGCTTGACTCATGGGTCAGTTTTAAGTGGACTAACAAACAAAACCATTCCTCTGAAAATGATGATGTACAATAATCAGGAGGAATTATATCACACCCCCCATCACAGGTGCAGCAGCGATGACAGGGGCTGTCACACATACAGTTTCCACAGCAGTAATTTGCTTTGAGCTCACTGGTCAAATCTCCCACATCCTACCCATGATGGTGGCCGTCATCTTAGCTAATATGGTGGCGCAGGGTCTACAGCCATCTCTCTACGACTCCATCATCCAGGTGAAGAAGCTACCCTACTTGCCTGAGCTGGCCCTTGGGCACATAAGGTAAAGTTAAAATACCTAAAAGTCCTTATTTTGTTTTTTATACCGCTGTCATGAAAGACAACCTGTACTTATTGTTGTATCCCGTCATTCCCAGCAAGTATAACATCTTTGTGGAGGACATTATGGTGCGCAAAGTGAGATTTCTGTCTTCTCAAGCCACCTTTCGGGAATTAAACCATCTGCTTGACACCACAACCCTGAAAACCATCCCCATTGTCGACTCCAAAGGTAGGATGACCAACATCTATGCCGTCTCTGTGAGCCATAATTGTCACGGCTGCGGGGGCAGACGTGAGATGAGTGTGAGATAGGATCCAGACGCAGGCACTGGCTTGGAAGTGAGCGAGCTTTATTTAACACAGGTGGCACAAACAGAGCGAGCAAAGCAAAACCTCAAGGTGACCTAAACTGGGAATGACTAACAAAACGAACCTGAATGGATGACTCTGGGAGAAACACGCAGGGAAGAAACACAGACAGACTAGCAACTAACATGAGTGAACACACACTATAAATACACAGAAGGGAAAGAGGAAACGACACACAGGAGGGAGGAACAGCTGATTGTGATCAATAAGACGAGACAGGGGAAACGCAAACTGAACACACTGGCATAAGACACAGACTTTCACAGTAAAACAGGAAACTCAAAACACGCGCGAAGACACAGACTCAGAGTCTGGCTTTACACAGAGACCTGACTCCACTAGAGGGAATACACAGGTAGGGATGACACAGAACAGAGGGAGCACGGAATTAACACTGGGAGGTCGAATAACAAAACCTAAAAATCAGAACTCAGGAAGTACCACGAAACTAGGGAGCTAGAAACACTAGGATAGAAACCCAAAACACAAACAGTCACAAACCATGATGAAATCAAAAGTAAAAGTACAAAAACCAAAAACACTGGGTCACCGACCCAGGACCATAACAATAATACTTTATTACTATTCTCTGACCACCACCAGTAGGCAACGGGTGAAGTGTCTTGCCCAAGGACACACCGGCTGGGACTGTCGGAGCCGGGGCTCGAACCGGCAACCTTCCGATTACAAAACGAACGCCCAACTCTTGAGCCACGATCGCCTAAGGTCGCCTTAGGCCTTAGTAGCTTTCCATGATTAACAGTTCAAAATAATTCCTCTTAGCCTTGGTGCAGATCTTCAGTTGACTATCTGTCTGAAACAAGCTTCTGATTGGCCGCCCTCGTAAACAGAAGGGTTTAATCACATGTGGGTGGAGCTTCTGTGCGCAGAGGCAGAGCTGTGTCCATGAGATGATCATATTGGGGAGATATCAGCTCCAAATATATCATATCGAGCCAAGAGTAGAGAAAATTTTGAGAAAACAGCTTTTACTGTCTGAAGCCTGAGCTTTTGTCTAACAGGGATTACTCTCACCTCTTTTTTGGAACCTTGGCCACTGTCAACATTATCCATTGTAACAATATATATATATTTATGACAGAAAATAAGGACCATTAAATTCGTTTTTTACCTTAAAGTTATTTTTTCTGACTTGGTGCTAAGCTGATCTCATGTAAGTATCAACAGTTTCCCCCTGAATGCCAAACTTTTTCCCTGTGAAACTTCCTTTTTTGCAGAATCTATGATTCTGCTAGGTTCAATTGAGAGGACAGAGCTTCAAGCCCTCTTGGACTGGTGGCTTTCACCTCAAAGACGAGTCTTTGAAAGAGGTCAAAGTTCACCGGGTCAAGCCTCCAAAATCAGCTGGGAGTCATTCACCTTTGTAGATGAGGAGGGAGGCGAGGAAAGCCCAGACAAGGTGGAAAAATGTGACCTATTCCTGACCATCAGGTGTTGTTTGTTTGTGTCTGCAACCCCCTTACTGACAGCGTTGTGTCCATCAGACCACCACTCCTGTGCAGGAAGAATGTAATGGACCCGTTCCTGCCCCCAAACCTCAGGATCCCTCCACCAACCACACAGACTCAGGTAACACGTTATTTCCACTACATACAAGGACAGGTTCACTCATCCATGTCACTTGTCTCTACTCTGACATGCGTTGCCATACCACATCCCCAGACAAGCGCAAGCTGCCATCTGTCAGGAGGACCCTTCAAAGACTCTTCTCCTCCACGTCTTTGTCAGGCCAGACAGATACTCAGGTACTGGGATCAACCTTATGTATCCATTGCTTTGAGGCTAAACACTCAAAGAAGCAGTGCATCAGTGATCTGCTACTGAGTTGGCAGTGACAGCTAAGACAGGGATATCAGTCCAGCATGGCAGTCTAAGCCAGCCTCAATAATGTGATGAGGGGGGTGGGGGCATAACCTGAAGCTGACCTAGTGATAGCTTTTGCAGTAGGTAATACTTTAAAACCAGCAGGGGGCATCTATCTTTCTTTTCATCATTTGGTCTATCATCTCTTTCTTCCTCCACCTTTCTCAGGAGACCACAACCCCTCAGTTGACTGACACCATGTCTCCAGAGGAGGTACTTTACACTATTGATTGCGCAGCCCCATACTCAACGATGGACCAACAAACCACTCTGATAATTACAACCTATGTTTGCGCCTTCATCTCTCTGCTTTGTGATTGGCTGCAGATCAAAGCCTGGGAAGAAGCAGAGCTGAACAAACCAATTGATATGGAGCAGATACGCATAGACCCCTCTCCATTTCAGCTGGTGGAAAGAACGTCTCTGCACAAGGTAACCATCAAAAATCATGTACACATACTGGTTCTGCACTCTTACAGCTATGACTTATTTTCATGTCATGATCTCTGCTCACAGACTGGAAACGGGAGGAATAAACTCTTCATAACTAAACTATATTGAAACTATATCTAAGTTCATCTTCTGTCTAAAACAAACTGTTTAGCCTCTCTCCCATAAATGCTATGCTCCCTTTGAGCCAGCTTTGTTGTGTGTGACTGGCAGACAAAAGGTCAAAAACCCGGTTGGTAAGGTTTTTGTGCCCAGAGTGATTCAGTTAAGGATTTTTGACATCACTAACATCATCCAAGAGTTTCGGATTCATCTGTGCCAGCTTCAGTTTTCAGTTTTTTAAGTGCATACCAAGTCCACCTGTCTGCCAAATGTAGCTCTAAAGGAGCTTTCTGAAAGCTGTGATGAAACATTAGACTTATTTCAGCTTGGCCTAAGAGTTTGAACAAACAGAACGCCCTGTTTGTTCTTTGTCCATATGATAAAACTTTGAAACTTGAATTTTTTTATTATGCATCTATGTAGCAAAGCCGTGCATTTCCTCTTTTGTTGCAGAAAAATTGCTTATGAGAAACAGTGCAGTCATGCAAGCAGAACACTGTCACAGTACAGCACATCTAACACTGACTGGATCGTGTCCTCTCTCTCCTCTCTCATTACTCAGACCCACACTCTGTTCTCCTTGCTGGGTCTCAGTCACGCCTATGTCACCAGCATTGGTAAGCTGGTGGGTGTTGTGGCACTGAAAGAGGTAAAGTCACTTTTTGCTTTTCATTTTGTTTTAATTTATCGGCTTGTTTTTTGTCACCTCTCTGGGTTTGATCCGGTAATGTGGCATGACGAGCTGTGAGCTGTTCTGTCACCATGTGCATCATTCTTTACGCTCTGATTCATGCAGTTATTCCACTAACCGCCCTCACAACTCATCTCGCTGGATGTTCACTTTAATGATCTTATGTTGTTGCTCTGCTTCGTGGTATGTTTGGGTTTTGTTTTTTTTTTTTGCTTCTGTGGATGTTTAAACCTCTTTCACTCTTGTAACAGTTGCAGAAAGCCATAGAGGGCTCAACTCGGAGCGGGGTGAGGCTTCGTCCTCCTCTGGCCAGTTTCAGAGACACCAGTAGGAAAGCCAAGAAGCACCAGCCTCCCTCATCCACCACTTCCTCGCCAACACGGGACAGAGACCTGTGGGGGGAGGGTAGCAGAAGGGAAGGGGAGCTGGTGAGGAGGGAGTCCAAAGACGATTCCCGAGGGAAGCCTTCAAGAGGAGCTCCTGGGTGTGACATTGCTTCCTCTTCCCCCAGCACCATGGAGAGCAATAGTAGCTCCACCTCCACAAGAGGGGCCGAAGGCCCTGCTCAGGAGGCAGCATCCCCCTCCACCTCCTCCTCTACCTCGCCGTCAGCCCCTGCCTCTCCCACGTCAGCCACCAGCCCTGTCCTCACACTGTCCTCCCTGCAGGAGGAGAGGGAGAGCGAGGAGTCTGATGAGCCCATTTAGGAGAAAACTTTCAAGAAGAAAAACTTTTACCTTCTTTTAATGTCACTCCTTTTCCGAAAAGACAAAGCTGCAGTTTAGATGGAGGAGTCAAAGCGACCTGCGGCTGTCACAGACATTCAGCTCTCGGTGGGCAGGAGGAACTGGTGCACACAAAGCTCAAGAATCTTTTAGTACAGGATATTTTTTTCTATTCTTATGATAGTTTCACTTTTCCACTCTTTAAAATCTCAGGTGCTTTCCCGTGTCTTCTGAACTGCTGACAACCGTTTCACTGAAGTTCAATCTTCCAAGCGTATCTCTGAAATGCCGAAAACAGCTGATTTTCACATGTATTAAGATCTGTTAATGTCATTAAAGGTATAATATGCAGCAATGGTCAGTTATTGTAAACTTGGCCTTGAGAATGAGGATGAGGGAACAGCTTTAGCAAGAAAAAAGCAATGAAGCATAATTTTCTAATTGTTTTACAATGATTGAGTTCTGAAGCAGAAATCACACAAGTCAGCAGGGAAGGTGCTGCATTTCTTAATTTAGTGTGAATTAGGTGTGGCTCTAGGCTATAAACTGGTGTTGACAATAACTATAACACGTATGATAACATTACCAGATAACATTGCATTAATACTTTCTGTAGTTTTTAAGTAGCTACTACCCAGTGTGTGACACTGGAAACCATAAAAACATGAGTGCCAGTCAGTAGTAGTTATTCCAGTCTAATTATTAAAATTTCTTTCTTATTTTGGATGTTGGTGTAATGAAAACATGCAATGAAAACTAACATCACAACAGCTCTTTTATAATATTTATGAGGAAAGAAATAGAGGCAGTGATGTAATCCCGCCCTCCTGTTGTTATTAGCTGGGGGCTACACAATCATTGCCCAATGCTTGCAACCCAGGAATGTACAGAAAACAGGAAAAACTGAATATATTAAATCAGTCTGTGCAGATAAATACAACAGTAAAGGAAAACTGAGAGATTTTACTGTTTTAGGAAAATCCTGCATATTATACCTTTAAGTACCTGTAGGGTAGCTGACAGTAAAGAATTGTATTATAATGAAATAATATAGTGATTAAGACTTAATTAATTTGACTGATGGGTCAAAGAGATCACACATTTAAAGTTTACTGATTGAGGTTAATTTAAAATTATAACTTGTTATAACATGTTTATTATGTATTTTCTGTATTGTGAATCTAAATCATTATTACTGGTTTGTAATTTTTAAAAAATAATAAATACTATATTTGTCCACTAACTTATTTGAGTTCTTTACTGCTGTTAAATATCTTTCTCAGTGAGGCTGGATGCAGCAGTGCTTCCAGCTAAATGCTAAAATAAATATATTTTCATTTGTTTCTGGATTGAGACCCAATGCTGAAAATGTGGGTTTTGTCACTCTTTGTCACTGAAGAAATATTTAACACATTAAAAAGGAAATGTTTTTATAGAAGGTTGAGATTAGCAGATGGAAAACAAAAGTTTGGAGAATGATTGATTTGACTTTATGGTCTGAAACAGCAATTTTGCAGCACCCCCAGTTTACTTAATCCTGTATCAGCGTACCCAGGAGAAGATAAAACAAATAAAACTTTATCCAGCAAACTGCAAATCCTTTTTTAATTATAAAGAGAAATCTTCTATATTTATCAGGTTTATTTGAAGAGACTGTACTCAGATGGTTTTAGTAACATTATCACCTTCAAGTTTAGCCTGAGCTAGCTTTAGTTTAGTCTGTTAGCATGCCAACATTAGGAAAATGTCAGCAGCAGAGAGCAACAGTGTGCTGTTACTGAAGTAGTGTTCTTTAGCACGGTTGTACTCACCTTTAGTACTCTATTTCTATATTATCTCATAATGCTGATCTGTTGTTTGACACAATTATTGTAAAGCAATGCAATTTTTTTGTCACAAAAAAGCCAAAGAGGGATAGTATTAATAATTATCATAATTATAAGGTAAATAGACAGAAACTTCAGAGCTGGAGTGGACAAATTTAGTGGGCGTGGGGGAGGGTTTCTCTCTAACCTGCTGCTGAACCCACAATTTTTTTTAAACGCACAATTTTATCACCTCTGACATTTTTCTAAAATTTGACAGACTTTCAATCTGCAGGATCTGAGAAAAGATTGGCCATCTTATTGACATTTTGGCAATTTTTGGAAAAAATCTGTAACTTGTTGCTGCCTATCTTGGCCAGGTCTCCCTTGAAAAAGAGGTTTTTAATCTCAATGGGATTTTCCTGGTTAAATAAAGGTTAAATTTAAATTAAAAACTGTCTTGTTGTATGTCACTCCCATGACTTCATGTTTAGCATTGGTAACACAAAAAGATCTGCAAAGCAACTTCTTAAGGCGCTCACAGTTTTTAGTGTTGAGCTTTGGTTTGGAGTTTCTGGGTTCCATAATGTAGATATCAACTTAATAATTACTGCAAGGTGTATAGAGCACAGATTAAACAACCCAAAGTATAATAAGTTGTTGAAAATTACAACATGTATCTATAGAGTATATATTACATCTATACATGATATAAGTGTAGTTCATATTTTTTTAAATACTCCACATTCAGTAAAAGTAAAGCTTAAGTGGAACACAATTAGTTATCCACTGAGGAGCATTAATGTTTGTACAAATTAGTTTTGTAATTGTTGGGATATACTACGTCAAGAAAAGGAGTGAGGGTGATAAAAAAAAAGTCTAAAAAGAGAACATCTGCATGCATATAAAGATTTCTGTGCTGTGAAGGTCAGCAGCGTGTTTCAGCCTCTGATTCCTATGTGAGCTTGAACAAATCAGCAGTTAGTCCCTATGGAGGAGGCCTGGCTGTGTTAATATTCTCCTGGCATAAAAGTCCCTGATAAGGACTGGAGAGGGATGTTTTTGGAAAAGCATGACAGGCTGGATTACTCTGCTGCCAGCTCCTTGTGACTGCTGTTTTTGTCTGTCAAGCACATGGTCGCAGACACCCACTGTCAGTCCAAAAAAGAAAAAGACACCCCCCCCCCAAGCATATCACTAAGCTCTTGAGAGAAAGGAGGTGAACATGTGTTATTTCCAACCTGTGAAAACATAACCACACGTGTGCACAAGAAATGCCATTTGTTGGTTTTGTTTATTTGCTCTTTCTCCACCAGAGGAAAAGGAGAGGAGACAGGTAAAAGGAGCCGGAGGGTGAATAGGAGGTCGTGCAGGAAAAAGAGGGGAAAGGAAGAGAAACGGGAAGAAACGGAGAGTTGACAGAAGAGAGAGAGGGGGGGGGGGGGAGCACGGAAGAACCATCCTGTGACAGCCATCCAACAAGCATGCATAGGTGGGAGTGTTATAAGTGTTCACTGGTATCACCAGTCACACTGCCTCATTTCAAACAAATCCAATTTTATGCAGACTTTTACAGAAGCCATCCAATTTTATACAGCGTTTTATACAGCAGTTACTTTTTTTGCCAGACACTTCCAGATTATAATTAGCAAATTCCCTATGACTGATGTGAAAACGTTAAGTTATTTTTCTGGGTTTTTTTCTCTCTTTTTTTGGCAGTGATTTTTCCAACAAGACAGTGGACATCTTACTGTACACAGACAGACATACAGACAGACACAAATATACAGAGCAGATACAAAGAGATAGACGGAAAGGAAGAGAAGGAGCAAGGCAGAGGACCAGAAGCAGATTTTGAGCATCATGCCTGCAGACAAGTTGTAACTGTAACTGGAAGATGGCAGTAGAAATACAAAAAGAGTGACTCAACTGCAAACCAGCAGGTTAACAAAGATGTGATCAGTAAACCTTAACATCCACAGAAATATTTTTGGCTTCTTATTATTTGTTTATTCATTCATTGAGATTTAATTAAAAAAAGGAAAAAAAAGAAAGAAAGCAACAACACAAAATAAATAAAAAGATAAATAAATAAATAAAAAATAACCCAAAGCAAAGCAGTGTCTATAATGGAGTTCATGCATGTTTCCTTGTGATGTAGCTTATTAGCAAACAGTCAAGCCCAAATAAGCTGCGATGGTCAAAGAAATATATATAAAGCATTGGTCTTTCCACCACATTACGTCATCTGACTCATTAAAAAAAAAGATACTGCTCCCAGAAGGGTTGGTACCCACGTGAAATTATACTCTGTACAAGATGTCTTATTTTTCCTCCCCACCAAGTAATTTTTCAATAAATAAATTAATATTTGCCATTGCGTAAAGACATTCTGTTTGCAGTTTTGAGCAGTCTTCAAGTTGTTTTTGTCACCTGGCACTACTGAAATTCTTGAAGTTTTTAAAAACAGTGAGCTGCCAAACTGCTCCATCTCTTCTTGGCTTAAAGTGCTCAAAACCAGACAAAACGAGAGTGCTTTACAGCCGTGACACCTACTCTAACTCAGAATTCAGCAGGTCAGTAGAAAAATAAACATTGTCCCCAACATTGCATAAAGAAGCAATCAATAAATAAATTCATTCAAGTCAATAAACCATATATCTTATCATCTTAAAAGTTTCTCACACAATCATCAAAGTGAGAGAAAGTGCTTCTCCAACACAGAAAACAGTGGTTTTGTAGTGCCGTAAAGTTTTGTCAGTGAGCCATGCACGGAAAGTCCACTTTGTTCACCGCCGCTGTTTAACTCCACGTCTCGCTAGCAAACACCGTCCTTCCTCCGGTGAAAGAAAAAGAAAAACCCACAAAAAATAAACCATGCTTGTCAAACATCCAGGCAGCTGCTTCACAGTAAGAACGATGAGCAGGAAGACACCGATCTTTTCAGCTCCAGTGTTCAGTCCTTATTGTCCGCTCTATTCCCTGATTGGCTGACTGAGTGGCAACCTCCTGTCGCTGTCGCCAAACTTTTTCCACCGCCGATGGTCTCAGTGAGTTGAATGCCCCTCAGTTTGATTCGATCACCCAACTTAAAACACAACATCCCTCCCATTTCCTCCGATTTTGTCTTTGTGTTGTTGCACACAGAAGAAGAAAAAACTAAACTGTGCTAGGCTAAGCTGTGAGTTAGAGAGCAATCCCCAAAATAAGGTGGGACCCAAGAGGTGTACAAAAATAAAGAAATCATACTGTAATAGAACAGTTGTGATTGTGAGCGAGAGGCAATTTCTTTATTTACTCAGAATATTTACATATTTGTGACAGAGCTGACACTGATCTGGGAAGCCAGTGTCTCGCCTGCCTATTGCTGGTTACAATTTAGATATTCATATCTGTGTGTGTGTGTGTGTGTGTTGTTGTGGTCTTGGTGAGCCAGCAGTGAATCCACTTTCCAACATGGTTGAAAGACTCCCACACTTGTTTTTGTTTCATAAGAACAGCGCTCCCTTCTCTCTCTTGTGGACCACGGAGGAGGCATCAAAGCAGCACTCGTGTACTGCCGCCTGTCTTCCAGTACATTCAAAATAGTGGTTATCATCCTTTATTCATCGCGATTACGTCTATGGAAAAAAAAAAAGCAGCTGAGGGTTCGCGTTGTCAAGTGGCTCGGTTTTGGTTGTCGGTGAAAGCTTTCAGAGCGGAAACTGGGTAACCTCAACAGTCCAAAGGGAACCTCTGATCTGTTGGGATTGCATCAGTGCAAAAGAGATTCACATATGCAGCTCTGTGTTTATTTCTCAGTCATGAAAGCCACCGCTCAAACCCACCGCAGGCCCACTGCAGGGCCACTGTGGCCACACCTGGGATACTATGGTTCAGTGCAAAGTCTATACAGTGCTGTATAGTACAGGTACTCCATAGTACTCTGAAGAAACATGCATACAGAGAGACAGAGTAGGAAGCACGCTATCTTACAGTACAATCCTTATCTGTGCAGGGTTTTTGGGTGTCCAGTCAGCAGGGCCTGTCCCTGGATTGTGCCTCGGGGAAAACTGCATTTCACTGAAATGCTGAGATTTTCTGGGCCTACTTCAATCATCTGTGAAAGTGCTTGGGTTGCCAGATGTAAAGTATAGTGCATGTGTTTGATGCAATGGGGAAATAAATTTGACTAAACTCTATCTTATGTGTTGAATAACAGCTGTAAACAGAGTAGTTCTCCCACTGGAAATCTCATATCTTATCATACACTTATACATAGATTGTTGTTCTTTTTTTTGTTTCTTTTATTACAAAATTATTGTTATTTTTTTATTACTTTAGATTTCCATTATCATTATTAGATGATGACAGGGTCGAGTTGCTTGTCTCATAAAAAGCATGCATTTTTCCATTCCCCTCTTTTTTTTGTCTCAGTGCAGTTTCCCGGTGGATATAATTCACTCGGTTGGTGCTTCTCTTCCGCCTTCATCTCTCTTTTCTTCAGTTACCTTTGGGATGTAAGGCTTGCAAAGAAACAGGTGTCCATTGTTGCATCAGCTCTACTGTTATTGGGAGTCCACTATCAAATCGATTTCTCACCATTTTGAAGAAATGACCTTGCAACCAAAAAAGTTGTGGTTTTGATACCTGAAAAGGAACAGAGTAATAGAGATATATTGTGTTATTATGCTCATTTCTTGCTGACTCCTCAGTCAGTTTTTCATTTGTCTCTTGGCTGCCATAAACTCAGTTGGCTGCCACAGAAGCAGGAGGCCCCTCTTCTGGCTCTTCCTTCTCCTCTAGTGTCTGAATGAGACCAGAAGTGACATCAGACAACTTCCGCTCTGTGATTGGCTCTGCTGGCAGCTGCCCCGGACTACTGCCACCAGAAGCATCCCCTTGTTGTGTGGGTGGAGTCAATGTGGCCGACTCTTGCTCCATGCACAGTGCCACCTCTTCTTCCTGATCAGGGCAGAAAGAGTGAAACACACAAGGTCAACTAGATGACTAACTTATGTATGTGGATAGATTTTTACCTATTGTTCTCTTCAGTAGTGAAAACAAATATTTGATCCCCTGCTGAATTTGTAAGTTTGGTTACTTACAAAGAAATGAACAGTCTCAGGTTTTTATGATATTTTCATTTTAATGGAATATCACCACAAAATCCAGGAAACACATTATTTGAAAGTTATAAATTGATTTGCATAGCATCGAGTGAAGTAAGCATGATAGGTATAATCATTCAACCAATCAATCAACCAGTCAACCAAGCAACCAATTACAGCGGCCCTTGATCTCAATCATGTGTATAAAGCACGCTTGTCCACAGAGTCAGTTTCTTTCTTTTCAGCCTCTCCGCCATCATGAAAAGACCAAGGAGTTGTCAAAGAATATCGTGGATAAGATTATAGACCTGCACAAGGCTGGGATATACTACTAGACCATCAGCAAGAAGCCTGGTGAAAAGGTGACAACTCTTGGTCCAACTATTTCCTAATGAAAGAAATATAAAATTACCATCAATTGCCCTTTTCCTGGAGCTTCACTCGTAAGATCTTGCCTCATGTTTTGAGGATGATCATGAGAAAGGTGGTGGATCAGCCTAAAACTACACAGGTGGAGTTTATTACTGATCTGAAGGCAGTTGGGACCACAGTCCCCGAGAAAACCACTGATAACACACGCCATAGGGTCCCCCCTGCTCAAGAAGCAACATGTGAAGATCGGTCTTAGGTTTTCTACTGAACAGTGAACAGTGTGGTCAGATGAAACCAAAACCTTTGGTATCAACTCAACCCGCTGTTTTTGGAGAAGAGAAACACTGAGCCAAAGCCAGTTTCCAGACCTCAGTCCTGTAGAAAATCTGTGGAAGGAGCTGAAGCTTCAAGTTGCCAATGGGCAGTCAAGAAATCTGAAGGAATAAAAGAGTTTCTGTAAAGAGGAGTGGGCCAAAATCCATCCTCAGATTTCTCCTACTGTATCAGCTAACAGACTGATTGGCAAATATGAAAATCACTGTGACGCATCAAAGTACACTTTGTCAAGACAGTCTCAACTCAAGGCCAACTGTCAAACTGTTTTGAAGCTTGCAATACATAATCTTTCTCTGCAGACCTCAAGTCAATGCTTAAAGTCAAGGTTTCCAAAGTCCAAATAATTAATATTTAATGGTAAATGGTCTGCACTTAGCATGCCTTTTAACCTTAGCTGTGTCTGCAGAGCTCTTTGCAGTCCTTATCATTCACACAGACATTCTGAAGTGACTTGGGGTTCAGTGTTTTGCTCAAGGACTCTTAAATGTAGTCAGAAATCGAATGACCAACCTATTAGCCTCTCTGCACTATAATAAAACACTATTGGGATACATAATAGCCAGTTTTTAGTGGTGGTTACCATTTTTCCCCCTTTCCCCCCATTTCTCTCAGTAAAATTGCAGTTATATTGTGACATAAACAAGCAGGAACAAGCTTACTACTCTCTGGCTCAGATACAAAGGTAGAAATGTTAGCATGTTTGTTGACATGGGTGGAAAAGCCAATGAATCTTTTCCTAAAGCTTTTTGTGCTACCATGATACCACTGTAGGTTGCCAAAGTCAAAAATTATATTCAATATATCCAATTGGGATAAAACAATTATTGTGTTATATGATTGTGTTTTATAGGGGCAGCTGTAGCTGAGGATGTAGAGCAAGATGTCGACCAATCAGAAGATCAGTCACGACGCATCCATCAGAGTTTGGCGTGTGTGTGTGTGAATGTTAGATAAAACCGCTTAGGTGTAGATTTGTATGAATGTTTATGTGATTGGGTAAATGAGGCTTGTAGTATAAAATGCTTTGAGTGCTCAGTTAGAACAGATAAGTGCTACATAAGTACCATCCAGCATTCAGTCCATTTATATGGACCAAAATAATTGTGATTACGGTTTTTGTCATAAGGAAGAGCAGCCAATCCTATACCACTGCTTATTCAATGATGGATTGCCAACAAGAGCTCAGCTGCTAAAAAGTGTTGCCTTCTTGAGCTGCACAGCAAAATCAACCTGAAGATGAGGACTTCATGAATTAGATATATAGGTGACTGATCGTTTTGTGCATTAATAAGGTTGCTCCCTGCAATTTTCATGAAAACTTTCATAGCAGTCCCTTTTGCTTCACACCTTTTACATAATTTATCCCCAAAATAACTGAAGTTTGGAGGCCTGCCGCAACTGTGGTTTTCAACTCTCCCTCCTCTTCTTTCCTGACATTTCTGCTATCTAATCTATTCAAATTCTTCCATTCCCAACTTTATCTTATTGAGGCCACAAATCCAATATTTTTATCATCAGTTAATGTTGTCATCAATTCAGTCAAAATAATGGAAATGTAAAAGTATATGTCTTAGGCAGGTCAAAAGTTAAAAAATCCATCCATTCAGTTTATTCCGCTTATCTAATTCAAGGGTCAGGAGGCTGGAGCCGATACCAAGGTAGGGTACAACTGCTCAGGTTGCCAATTTTGTCGCACGGCTAACACAGAGAGACAGATAAGCATTCACACCTATTTCACCAATTAACTTAATATGGACGTCTGTGCACTGTGGCCAGAGTGCCCATATAGAACCCGCACAGTTGCAGGGAGAACATGCAAATTCCACATGGGAAAGCCCCATCTGACCAGCAAATCCTAATCCAGGACCTTCTGGATGTGATGGTGCTAACCCTTCTAACAATCATGCACATCATCAATCATGATCGATGTCTCGGGGGGAAAGTGGGTTCAGTATCTTACCCAAGAACACAGCTGCCCGGCTAATGTACTAAAACTTTTAAATGTACGCAAGGAAAAGCTAGAAATCCTCACTTTCCTCTTTTTGCCATTACCCCCAACCATCCACAGCAGATGACTGCCAGTTCCTGACCATGGTTCACTCGGAGGTTTCTTCCTGTCAAACGGGAGTTTTTCCTTTCCAGTGTTGCCAAGTGATTGCTCAAAGGGGGTCGTCTAATCGTTGGGGTTTCATCTGTTATTGCAGGTTTTTTTAGCTTATAATATAAAGTAACTTCAGGTGAATGTTGTTGTGATTTGGTGCTATGCGTACAAAGAAAACTGAACTGAATTAAAGTACTGGCAGACAATTCTTATCAAAAATGTCAATCAGTATCGCCTCTATTGACAAATTGATCTTAGATTGCTACACGTGCATAAAATCAAACCAATCTTATGATTAAATGATTCGAGATAAAACTTTAAGAACAGTCTGCAGATTTAAAACAGAAATGACACACAGGTTGCAGTAAGCAGAGCTAAACCTCCAGTCTGGTGTCTCTGAGAACTCGCTTAGAAAGCTACAAAATCAAATATTAATCACTGAAGAGATAATTTTATGTAATGCAACCCCATGTTCAACTCACCTTGACCTCCTCCTCCTCCTGCTGTTCCAGTAGCGGGGAGTGTTCCGTTCCTACTATCTCTTCACCAGTGGGAACGCACAGGCTTGGCTCCACTGTCGCCGCCACACCTATGTACCCACCGGCTTCTGCCTGATAGGTTTCCATCTGCCCCGTGTTCCACAGATCAACCAGCGGAGGGTGAATTTGATGAACCAGACTGTGGATGGTGCTGTTGGGTGTTGCTTGCAAAGAGTGGTTGGCACTGTGTAGCCTGTGCTCCAGAGACTTGAAACACACAGAAAAGACTAATCAGTAAAATGTGAGGAATGAGCAGTGACTGAAAGACATAAGATCTGTCAGTCGTTTGCGACCTGTTTGCCAGCTTTAATGTTTCATGACATGCTCCCCATGTCAGTATGCAGTAAGCTGACTTTGTTTTCCTTAGGCAACAGAGGTTATATGCAGATCTTTTTGTACAGTATAAGAAATTAAAGTTTTTTTTTTAATTTATTTTGGCTGAAAGATGCATGTCGAATAAGTTCTGACAAAGCTAACGGGGTGTAAGTACCTGCGGTAGATCAGTCTTCATTAATTCCTCATCCATGGAATTCTTTTTATTTTTGTTTAAAAAATGATTTGGATGCTTCCCTTTGGAAGAATGTCATATTTTTGCAGGTTCAGCTGAGCATTTAATGAAGGATTCTTGACAAGAGTGATGACTCAACAGTGTGAGGTGTGTCAGCGTTTACATCAGATGCGGTTGAGTCGTTGCTTAGGCTAAAATCGTTTTTATGGAGTAATGCAAAAACAAAAACAAATAAAAGGAGATGATTAGATAGAAAAATCTTGAATTAAGATTATTTTGTTGAATTTCTATTTCCACAGTTAAGAGCGAATTTCAGACTGAGCATGAAACCCAGCAGGTAAGAGTTTCTGAGAACATGTTCTGAATAAAAGCCCAGCTTTTTTAGTCTATAAATGCTGTGATGTGTGGGTTTGTTCATGTGCTGTACTTGTGCCTATACAAAAGTGAACAAATAAATAAAATAATGTGTTAATAAATTTATTTTACCAGACAGTATTTTATAACAACCATCTCTGATACTCAAGCCTTACGCATTAGCAGCAACATGTAGTGTCTCATTTGGATTAAAACCCAGACGGCGGCACTCTCGATCAATCACCTGCTGTTGCTGATACTGCAGAAGCTGCTGTTGGTGGTAGTGCTGAAACTGTTGGATCTGCTGCAGCTGTTGTAGTTGACTCTGCTGGAGAGTGAACTGCTGCTGTTGTTGCTGAGACAGGAAGTGAGCTGCGGCCTGCCCATCGTAGCCCTCCGTACCCATAACGTAGGAGCCAGCAGGGGGAGACGCTACGGCGGAGGGATCGCTGTTGATGGGCTCCCAAGCGTCAGAAGAGGAGAGGCAGTAGTGGCCCTGGTATGTGTGAGGCCACACCTCCGCTGAGGAGTGGTGCAATATCTGATCTGCAGGAAATAAAAAAAAATGTGGCAGCTGCTGTTAGCACTCTTCAAAATGGGGGCAGCAGATGGATGCAGGAACACTGTGTTTTATGATTTTTACAAAAATCCCACTTTTCAAATTTGCTGGAATTGGGAAAAAAATGAGCAATTTCTTAAAATCTTAAAATTCCAACTTTTAATGACCAACAGTTAAAGCTAATAGCTGTTGAGATAAATGTAGATCTGGCTGTTAACTACTCTGAAAAAAAAAAACTCAGCTGAAATCTTTCCACACTGGGTGAAAATGTTATGACAGAAACTCTCCAGTATGAACCGAACAGAGTTGAACACTGGCACACCTCGCACTGTTGAGTCATCATTTTGTCAAACTGTATAGTGCAGACAGAGCTTTGATTGCCTCCAGTGTTTCTTACTCAAAGTTGGAGGGCTATAAAGTGGGCTCACAGCCACTTATTTTGCTAAGTGTCTGACTTAAAAACGATGGGCTCAGTTAAGACTAATGCATTCAGGGTGCAGTTAAGAAAGCCTATTTTAAATTAGCAAAGCACTTACTCTAATTTTCTGCATTCAGAAGTCTGTGCTAAGGCAACATTGCAGTAAACTGTAAATATCCAAAATCACTGTTTATATCGATACAGTGTCTGGGTTTACCTTCCAAAAGTTCATGCTGGAAACTGAAATTGCCTAAAGTCTAGAGGTGTCAAACACAAGGTCTGGGGTAGAGTTGGATGTCTCGAGACCCGTCTCAAGACCAATTTTACATGGTCTGGGTCTTGTCTTGGTCTCGGCAGACTTTGGTCTTGGTCTTGTCTTGGTCTCGGATCCCTCGGTCTTGTCTTGGTCTCGCTGTCTCGGTCTTGCTGTCTCAGATTGGCATAGAGGTCGGGAGATTTGGATTCAACAGTATCCATGACACACAACGTAATGTTCGATAATGTGTCATGCGCAAAAGCATCAGCTCTAAGTGCTGTGCTTAGAGAGTTAGAGAGTGCTTTGTAGAAAATCAGAAGAGTCGACTCCTATTGAGCGAGAGCCGGCTCCTCACGTCTCAGCTCTCACACAGTGGCTCAGCTATGCTCCAATCCCTCCATATTGTGGCCAATCACATGCAAGGATATAGGATAATATCATTATGTGAAAAACAGAGAGGGTGAGAGACGCGACAGTCAAGTGGCGCGTGCGTCTGTCCTCTCAGTGAATGAGTGAGACAGTAGACAGCGGTGAGGAGGGCTCTGCGAGTGCGTCGCAAAAACACATACTGTAAATATGCCTGACACCTGTAAATGATGCAGCATCTGGCTTTTTTGACTTTTTTGTCTTGGTCTTGGTCTTGTCTCAACTTTGTCTTGGTCTTGACTCAGTCTGTCTTGGTATTGTCTTGGTCTTGGTTTAGGCGGTCTTGACTACAAGTCTAGTCTGGGGTCTGTGAAGGTTCAAAGTCATCCAGGTCATCGTGGTCTAAGGAGCTTGGAAAGAAGAGCATCTGGACTTCTTTAAGTTGCTTGAAGACGTTTTGCCTCTGATCCGAGAAGCTTCTTCAGTTCTAAGGTCAAATGGTGGAGAGTCCCAGATTTAAGCCCCATTGGAGTGTCCCCCTAAGAGGGACAATGGACCCCCTAATGATCCTCTACCTAATCACACGAGCCAAGGTGTGAAAACGGGTGTGGGTCACAATCGGGTGAACTCATTGCGAAACCTAGGCCCACCCTATCACGCAATTTCCTGAGGTCAGAAGGCCCATGATGTGAGTGGGCGTTAAGGCATCTGGGAAGGGATCTCAAAACTGGATTATAGATGGCAAACCTCTGTTCAAAGATGGCTGTTCACAGTGGACATAGATGGCTTCTTTCGCTCCTCTTTCAAACCAAATTGTCTTCTCTATCCAAAATGTGAACACTGGCATCCTCAAAGGAGTGACCTTTGTCCTTTAGATGCAGATAGACTGCTAATGGTCCATCCCCATCTAAAGTCCAGACGCTTTTCTTTCCAAGCTCTTTAGAATAAGGTCTGGGGGCCAGAAGTGGCCTTCTTAAGTCTCCAATCTGGCCCACTGGACAGTTCTGGAAAATGGAAGATTGGCATAAATTCCAGACTTCTGTGTTTTCACAAGTTTTACAGATTTTCCTACTGGTTTGAAATATACAAGTAAATAAGTAATAGGTAAATAGGAAAGTTCCTGTTTTTACGCCATCTACTATAGAAATGTATGACTTTTACAGTGGGTTCATTAAAAAAAATTTAAAAAAAAAAAAGGCCAAGAAAACAAAAAGAGGACATTCAGTCAATTAACAAAACTTTTCTGTTTTATAATTATAGGACAGTCTGCGCAACGAGCTAACAGAACATTTTCTCTAAATTTACCAAATTATTTCTTGCAGTTTATGGCCAAAGCAGCACTTTCTTGTCATGTAAAGAAAGCAGTGCATTGTTTGTTTTATTAAACTTGCTTACGCTTACAGAAACAGGAGTTTCACTTGTCCAGGCAACTTACGATCAGAGCGGGCTGTCCGTTGGCCACAATCTAAAGTGAGTTTGACATCTCTGGTCTAGAGAGACGAGACGCTGTAACACAATGCTCTAACTATTCTGTTTAAAATTGATTTGCCACTTCCCAACCTCTTCCATTTTCTTACTCATAAATGATGTGGCTGTGTTTCACCGACAGCAGTTACCTGGACTTTAAGCCTCAGACATAGTTGTAGCCCTTTACCTCGACTGGTGATGCTCTCCTGGTTGACCTCACTGAGGTGAGCCACGCTTCCCTGGTTTGATCCTGACTGCGGAGTCTCACCATCCATTGACGACCACGCCAGGAGCGTTGCCTCTGAGATTGCAAACTGCTGCAGGATGCCTGAGGTGAGAATTCAGAGGGCAAGTCAGGATAATTGTTACTAAGACCTGCAGTACCACTCAAGTGGCTGATGACAGTTAATAGGGTGTGAAACTCTTGTCCTCATCCAACCGACCTGCTGCAAAGCGAGCCTCTTTCTCCCCATCACTGAGATCACTGTAGGCGTCGTTCTCCAGCCGCCGCTCCTTTTCTCGCTCCTGGGTACTGATGCGGGACTGGAGGACGCTCCCTGAACCCACCGTCGTCATGCCCCAGTTTTGCCATTCAATCATGTGAGCGACACGACCCTGGGCCATGGCTGTGGGCTTGGTCACTCTTTCCTTCATTGTGCGTGTGACACCTGTTTTAGGAGAAAGACCCAGACAAGGAAGGAGCAGAAGGAGGAGGGAGGGTGGCCAATTTAAACAAAATGGGTGGAAGTAAGAGGAGAAATTAAAAGATCAGAGGTTTAGAGAGAGGTGATTAGACGAGTTGAGGGAAGGAGTAGAGAATGAACCGGCAGGTGGGGAACAAATGGGGGAAAAAACAAAAGAAGAGGAAGGAAGAGACATAAGATAGATTCGTTATTATCAAGTGTGCATTGGTTTTGGGTGGAGGAGGGTATGACGCTGTGATGTGATGGCTCATGGGAATATGGATATCCGGCATGGTTTGACTGATAAATTGATTAAGCAACTGTCATATAAATAATAAACCTTTCAGTGTTGGAGTTGTTGTGTCTGAAATTGGCTTTACCTCACATGATTAACCAGAACGAGTTCAAGTATAGCATACCATTCCCATTTTTAAGGATCATTTGCAATAAAAGTGCCTGATGCATTATAGATATTTGTTTTGATGTTAAAGAGGACCTATTAGGCTCATTATTAACTCACGTTTTAATTCTTGGACTTTACTAGAGTGGCTTTAAATGACTCGGGATCAAAATAAAACTCTCTCATCTTACACTGTGCCTTGGTCTAGCCTCTCTGTTCATCACATACAGTTTTACTTTGTCTCCCCTGAAATCCACCTTACCTGTGAGCCAGCTTTCTTTTGATTGGCTGCCCTTTGCAAACAAAAGGTTTGAACAGCAGGTGGTGGAGCTCATGTGCTCACAGCCAGAGCTGTGTGCCTGAGATAACCATATTAAGGATATCCGCATTCACTGACGTGTCTGAAGTGGACTGAAAGTGAGCGATTAGAGCAATGTGAAGCCTGAGCTTTTGGCCTGCTGGGATTACTTTCACACACGCTGACCTCATTATTTAAAACTTTAACCATATTTAATATTAGCATCCAGAACTGTACCAGTATATAAGCCTTTTCAAGATTATTTATCTAAAGTTCAGGAGCAGGACCACACCCACAACAGTTCCTTTTCCAGCCGTATTTCTATAAGTGCCTATTTGGCCCATCGTCACTTTTTTTCTGCTTGTAAGCCTCTCTCAAAGGTATCAGGGGAGCCACCGCCTCAGCGAGCCTGTGGCATAGCTCGTTGCTTCATTATTAACAAATATTTTCATTTGCATCTGGGGCTTTAGTCCTTGCTAGTGAATATCAATCTATACATTTATCTATAGAGAAATAAACAAGGATAGCCACAATAGGGCCGCCTTTAAGAAGTAAACAAAATACCCAAACGCCTCTGGGATGTTTGAGACTGCTCATTTTATTAAAATATTGAATATCTTAAATTAATAACTGTTCATAAGGAAAACATTATCAGCCAAATCCAACTATTCAAAAGTCTGTAGTTAAAAGAGGGTTTTCATGAGCACCCATTATAAGCTCAGAGAAATGAAAAAGGGTTGTGGAGGTGACATTCGCGTGTTTAATGAGACTGTTAACATCACATGGAGGGGAGACGGCAGGAGACGTGTCTTGTCTGACAAAGGTGCATCATGGGATGGAGCAGGTTAATTTGGGTGAGGCGGCTGTGTGGCATGAATAATGAGAGGTTGGCTTGTTGACATGATAGCTTCTTCACACCTCTGTTAAGCTGCGCCGGGTAAACAAAAAACTCCTCTCTTTCTCTTTATTGCGTTTCGGAAAACTCAAAGCTGCTGAACATACATTTAATTTCCTGGTGCCATGCCACTACAAACTCATATCTGTTTAACAGCTCTGCTCCATATTTCCACGCGACTAACATATGATGACACATACTGTAAATCCCTGGCTGCCTGATTCTCTCTGATGGTAGCACATGAAGATGGGATTCATGAATAAATTATAGGACAAATCAGTACCACAGCACACGGTATAGCAGCTGGACTTCATTACACTGTACTGCAGTACAATTCACTGCACTCAAATGAACTGCACTACACAAAACAGCTGGATGAAACCAAAAAACGCTGCACTAAAAGAAAGCACTTCACTACACTAACTCTGTTCGACACGGCACTTTGCACAGTCAAAACATCCATACTAATACTTGCTCAGAACACCACAATTTCACAACCACTTAACATAAAAAACTACACTTCCCACTCACCTTTCCTTAGAGCAACAAGCTGTGTTTGTGTGTGTGTGTGTGTGTGTGTGTGTATGTGCGTGTTGTTTTTGAAGCTGAATTTGTTCCGTCAATGACTCACGAGGAGTCATTGACGACTGATATCACAGCGTGGAGAGGAAGTGATACAGGGGAACCCATTTAGGGTACCATGCTGACTCCAGGGCCCGTCTGAGGACAGAGCCAGCATGGGGTCGTTTACCAGTTACAGCACAGACACACACCTGACACACCTGACAGAGAAGACTTAGCCAGAGCCCCGATGCCATAGGCGTTTGAGTTCCTCTTGAGCCGGGGCAGGATTGATGTGGTGTCTTCCATAGACAGCTAGAAGGAGAGAAGAGAGAGGAATGGAGGAGGAAAGTGTGGAGAAAAGGACAGCATGGATGGTGTGAGAGGCCACACAGAGACAGTGTGACATGACAGTGTGTGTGTCAGAGGGGTGAGTGGAGAGGACAAGTGATGGAGGTGTTGGGTTAATACAAGAGACAGAATTTGCATTTCCCAAATCTTGATTCAAGAGATATTCTACAAAATAAATATCATATAAATCTAGGGTTTCTGATTGTGCTCACACCAGTATAATAAACCGCAAGACGGACTATACGGCTCAGGAGGTGGGGGTGTCATAAATCAAAACGCGCAAAAGCAACAAATAGATAGGGAGAGAAAAGTAGTAGATGAAGGAATGATGCCACAACACTTACATTGATTCCTTCCCATGAAAATTCTGAACGTCCATGCTGAGGAAGAGAAATAGGAGGAGAGAGGGATGGGGAAAGGAGGAGCAGGAAAGAGTAAGAGAGTGACAGGACAGAGAGGACATTGGCATGCATCGGGGTGGGGGAGTGGGGGGTGGGGGGAGGACGGAGGGGTTGATTGCACATCAAGCATGCGGAGGAAGAAATTAGGAGAAGGGAGAGGAAAATACGAGGCAGACACACAGGATTTTCCAGGAACAAGGAAAGTGAAGAGCCAGAATGACAGGGAGAAGGGAGGGGATTAAACAGGGATCAGTTTATATTTGCTTAGTTGTGTAAAGCAAACTGAATACGCTACGGATGAATGAATTTTCTCTTCGGTTACATGTGCTGCCAGAAACATTGAAAGCCAGCAGAAAACTGTGTGTGTTTGCGAGAGCGAGATATCAATAGTGTGTTGAACTGTATCTGATCCTGCACACAGACAGGGGACTGAGGCTTTCAGGAGGAAGGGGACATTATGTGTTTATGTGTGCGTGTGGTGAAGGCAGACGCTGAGAACAAAGCAGATAAGCACTCTCTCTATCAGCTGGACTGACACTAACTGCACTGGGAACACTGGTGTGCTACTGGCTGAGCTGATATTTTGTCCCCTTTACTGTTGATGTACACAAGCGGCAGACAGACAGTCAAGACTGTCAGAAAGCTCCAGGTCTACTTTCTTCTGGATAAATGCAATGCAAGCTGCACTGGTGGCACAAGTCTGAAGATCCTTCACTTACTGGTCAGTGATGCCTTTACATACATCAGCTAGTTTGCATAAACCTGGAAACATGTAGCCTGGCACAAAGTCTCCCTAAAAGCACCTCTTAAACTCACTAATTAACATTTAAATGCTTAATTAGTCTTCAAATCCCTCTTTTCCTAGATTTGTGTCATTAGCTTATTTTTTCTGGTCAATCTGCAGACTCAACAGAGTGTCACCTGAGAAGAAATAGCCTGTAATTAGAAAAACAGCTGTGGCCCTTTTTTTTTTTTTGCACATTTATGCAGATTAAACAAACAACAGATGATGTGGAACTTAGAGGTGCTGATAGGTGGAATTTTCAGTTTTAGACTAGTTGTTTTTAGTTAACTACCTGCTGCCTGTAGCTTTGTGTTTCTTTTAAACCTCCATTTAATCAGGAATTAAAACTCGGGAAAGTCATTCCAGTCCGGCCCTTACACCGTCATGCTGTTTGCAAGTTCATGCGAAGGATCTGCCACATTTAGTCCTGTTCCAAACCAACTATCCTTAAGTAAAAGTAGAATAAAGAGTTCCCTCAATACTGAGTCTGCACCCATGCAGGCTTACTAATTACATGAGGTAAAGGTGCAGCACCAGTTTTGTGATGTGAAGAAAACTCCATGCACTTCCAAATATAATATGCTTGTTATTCTTTCAGTAATAAAAAAATTAAAGTGACTTTCATGGAAATTTAGTACATTTTTGCATGTTTTTGTAACTGCAGGTATAGGTCCCAGAGAAAACACTATACTATATATTTAGCTTATAGTAATGTCTCCTCATTGTATTCTCAGCATCTATTTCCACATACTGCAGCACATCAAATTTTAAAAAAAAGTAATAATACAATGTAAAATATGCTCAACTCGAAGTAAATAAATTAGAATTAGAATTTTTAGCTACATTAAAAATAACAGTGTAATGTTAAATAATTATAGAAATTAATTAAAGTTCAATGTAAACACAGTTCTTTTTTAGTCTTACTGACTGCTCTGCTAGTCATGTTTTAGTGCTTTATTCTCTACACGTCAAGCACTTTATCGAAAAACTGCAAAACTTTGTTAATTATCTTCAGTGGTCAATAGAGTAAAATGTAAAGATTATGTAATTCAATTCTGGGTTAAGATAATATAATAATGAGAGTGCGATGAGAGGGGAGTGTTTATAATCTCCTTCAGCTACATCTAGATGCTTTATGTTAATCAATGTCTGCCTCTTCCTTCCCTCATGTAATTCTATTCTTTGCTCCCACTTCCTCCATCGCTCGCTCTTTGGTCGTCCCTGTCTCGCTCTCCATTCACAGGAGTGGGTGTGAGGAGAGAGCTGGGCTGCCTGGAGCAGCTTTCCCTATGTTCTTTTCCAATAGCCCTGACAACACTGATATATATGTATAGAAAGTGTTTGTGTGTGTGTGTGTGTGTGTGTGTGGCTGTCTTTTTTCCCCTCTCTGCAGAACCACGGGGGCATTCTGGGGCACGACGCATAAATAAATGATGCAATCAGTCCACAGTGCATTTGGTGGAAAAGTGAAGGTCTCTACACTTTAGTCCAAAATGGATCCTGCTCCTGTGTCCTTTCTCAGAGGCATCAGTTTTAGAGCACGAGATCAGTAATGCAGCGGGAGAGGAGAGGAGAGGAAAATGTACAGTGATAATGATGTGTAGGAAGTTGGAGAAAGAGAGGAGTGATGCCTCTGCCGTTCTGCTTTGAACCAGCACTGAGGAGTGACTCTGTCAGACAGCTATAACAAGCTTCAGACATCCTAGCAACAGCAATAAGCCAACCAAACCAGCGATTATTCAGTCATCCAGCCACACCACCCCATCTTGGCGAGGGAAGTGTAGCGGGAGCGACTGACATTGCCATGGCGTGATCTACTTCGCTAATCTACTAGCATAAGCACTGGTGTTACAGCTCATCGTGTGGCCATGTTGGTTCCTCAGGTGGAGTGGAAAACAGTTCACTGTCAGAGGAAGTCAACAACATGGATGAGCAGGAGGAATCACTGAAGACTTACTTGTTCCCCATCCTTTTGGACTGGCACGCCATCTGACGCTGAGAACGTGTTGAACAAGAGAGACAGAGAGGCACACAGAGAGAGGGAAGAGGGGGGAGAAGAGAAAGAAACATTAATATTTATTCTTAATTACATTCAGTGACAAAACTGCTTCCACAAAATGTTCATGAAGACATGGTTAAAAACTAATAAGGGAGATATTTTTCTCTTGTGTGCCTACATTAACAAATCATTTTTGCACTTTTTTTTATAAAAATAGTAGTAAGACCCACCTTCAAAAGAAAACCAATAACTCAGATGAAACCACAAGTGTCACACCTGAATTATAATAAATACATACAGCAAATATATATAAGAAAAACAGTAAACACCCATGACATGTGTCATCATGAGAGAACCCATTTGTCAGCATCCATTATCAATATCCTTAGAAAGGTTGAGTGCTATTGGGAAAGGCTGTCAGTTCTGAATTATTGCCTAAAACAAATAAATGAATACGTTTACGATTTTCGGCATCACCCCAATGCCCCAATTTAAAAAATGCATGTATACTTTATAAATGAAATAAAGGCTTTGTACCTAAACATACACAGCAATCTTTATCCACTAAGCACTTATTGGCAAATGTGTGAACAGATTTTAATGTCACATAAAAATCTGGACATTTCCCTGAATTCCTCTCAGCCTTTTCAATCTCAGTAAATCTGGATAGATTTTCCTTAGATCACCTTTAAGTCTCATCCTTTTCTGCTCCTCAGCACCAGCAGTGCATAAAACTGGTGAGAATCACCTTAGAAATACAATCTGCTAATGTCAACAAATAGAGGCTCACTGCACAGCGGATTCCAATACACACCACACAAAAAACAAACACACAATTCCACTTTTACAAAGACAAACAGATGGCAATGTTTTATAACATATGTATAACAGTTTTATAAAACCATTTATGTTAGTCAACCAATCGCCTCTCACAGTCAGACATAACTACACGATGTTAGTGATGCAGCACTGATGAGTGGCAGTCTAAATAATCTTTAATTACACCAGTGAGGAGAGTCAATAATTTATATATAAAAAATGATATAAACAGAGGGTTTAATGGCTGTTTGTAACCAAGAAATTGAATTGACAATTGTTTTAGGAATATATTTATAAATACGTATATATTTTTTTTACATATTCTGTACTTTCTTTATGTTTGGTGATGTATTAATTAATTAAAGGACGGATATTAATAAAGATCAAGGAGAATAACAGCATATCTGTGAGTCCGTGCTGCCATTTCACTTGAATCTAACAGAGCGTGCTCCACTTATGTAGGCTAACTAACCTCATTAAGGTGTTAGCCCTTAATGAAGGACGCCTTGGACATCTCTGTGCTGTGTCGGACACCATAACATTGAAATCTTGCAAAGAGATGTGACCAAGCCAGCTGTTCTCATTGGGGTGAATCACGGTTAGTAACATTTTCAATCCACATGGATATTCACGCATAAGACAAATAGTGCACTAAAAAAGGAAATATATATAGTAAATATTAGCCCCATTAATGATACGAAGAGAAACAGAAAGTTCTTGATTTTTGTACCCAAGCCTGTACAATAAAGGTGAAGGTGGCTCTTCACCTTTATTACCGGAAGTTAGTATGGCTGAGAAAAATACTGCTCAGCCACAGCATATACTTACCTCTGTGTCATTAAGGCTGTAAACACGATATCTCAAAAAGCTTTGAACTAATCCTGATTATACTTTGTAGGGGTGTAGAGTGAGGTCATGTTAACAATCCATTAAAATTTGGTTTACATCCATTGAGGTGTTCAAGGTCAACTTAATGATTTGTTGGTCATAAATAAACAAAAAGCGTCATAACTGAGAAACCATGGTTCGTAAAAGTGTGGTGTGTGTTGCAAACATATAGAAAGTACCTTATAAAGATTTAACCTCTGACCTCTCCTTCAAGGTCAATAGATTGCGCTGAAGGTCAAAGTGATAACAATGCTCTATAGAGTTATTTAAAACTGTTTATTACTGGCATGTAGTCACATCACTTGCTTTGGACCTCTGACCTTTTCTTCAAGGTCAAATAAGTTCAAACATTTTTAAAACTATGTTTAAAATTCTACCGCCTTTGTTAGTATTGACAGCATTTAGGAAGTGATACAGGTATATGTGGATTCTAAATATAACTTTATAGTTTGCATGTAAATATCATGTCATATTTGACCTGTGACCTAACTTTTACATTTCACAGCTGCTTTTCTTTCAAGATGACGCCAGAATGTGTTATATCTTTAAAGATATTGTCAGGAGAAAGAGCTGCCTACTTCTACTACTATTACCCATCAACTACTACTGCATAATGTTTGCGTTATAAAAGTAAATATCTGTCATGCAATCCTCATGTGATTTTTATTGCACTGCAAACTTCTTAAAGTATGTTTAAAAAGATAAAGAAAACAAAATGAATATATAAAAAACACGTTACAATTCCTTTGAAAGTAAATACTGCCGAGAGAGTGAGCTGCAATGGTGAAGTTTTCCAGCTGAGTGCTTCTTGTCTTACATATACAGTCGGACTACAGTAACAATGTACCTTTAGTAACTTATCAACATTGTTATGCATTATCACTGCTTTGCCTAGCATGTTAGCCCAGGCCTACATACCTAGCATTAGTGCAAGCAACAGGATGCTGACTGCAGCTCACTTAGTGGCCACAACAAGGGTTACTACACAACGACCTTAAAATGTAATTACCTTCATTCGGCAGTCATGGCAACACATTCAACAAACCAACATATTCCTCATTTTTTTAAAGCCTTTAAGTGTTCATGGTGAAGCAGACTGGAGTAAATAAAAGCTTTTTCTCCCAAGTTTGACTCTTGGCTGAACCCTTTAAGCTGTCATTAAAGATTTTGTTATTCTGCATTTCAGACCTGGTCAGTCTACTATGCCTCAATCAAGACCATTACCTCCTTGTTTAGCTGAGAGCTTCTATCAACCCCCTGCAGGTTTTACTTTCAAATCACTAGAATGCAGACCAGTGCTGGAGATCAACAGAGGAAATTTAATCAGTGATTGTATTTTGGTCAAATTCTGAAGTATACTAGAGAGGAAACAATACCACTGCATCAATCTGCAATCTTAACTTGCAGTTAACTGTACTGAAAAATGACATTTGAAAGCTGATTAATCTATTTGTGGTCATGCAGTCTCTAACATACTTTAACTGCATCTTGTTAAGTAAACTTTTGAACATTTACATAAGTAAGATTTCATATCGCAGACTTCCAATAGACTACTTTGCTTCTATTGTGTCCCTAGAAAACCAATAAATATTGACGCCTGCGTCACACTTAGCAATGTACTGCTTAAAATGGCAGATCAAATACAAAGCTGTCCACCCTGCATATTGTAGGTGTGACTTGTGTGAAATACACCCTCTCTGTTGGATAAATGAAAGTTATTATCCCTCCTCGTTCCTGGCTGTCCAAATCCTAATTAAAACATTGGTTTAATTAGAGAGTCGTTGGTGGTAATGGAGTTTAAACACGGCCTCAGTCTCTAGGTGCTCCTCTGTATCAGAGGGTCTGTGCTCTGTGTGTACAACTCTCAGAGGGGCTTACTCCTGTATAAGCACACTGTGAGTCTGCGTACGTGTCTGAGTTTGTGTGTTTGTGTGTTGCTGAGCCAGTCGCGGTTCTCAACAGCTGCATTTGGCAATCATGAGCGATTCCTCGGGAGCTCTGAAAAAAAAACACAGAGAGTTGTTGGCTCTCTAGATGTCCAGTGATGTCTGTGACCCACTGACCCAGTGATTCAGAAACATCAGCTCTGGTCTGTCTCTGTTGGGCTCTCAGATATTACCCTTCCCTCTGAACTCCATCCAGTCACATCAAATCACTGCAAGGGCAGTGGACAAGGGACAGGCTTCATTCCAGAAATTGGCCCTCTTTGCTCAGCAGGAAGGGATGTGCATATTTCTTTGGACACAGGAATCACACTCATTTCAGTGGGAATTTTGGGTAAAGTATTGGCATATATCATAAGTCTGTAGGTTTTAATATATTTAAAGTGTTTCTTCCAGGAGAGACGGTGGTTTATCATCCTGTTTTCTTCGACCCAGTTTTCCTCAACTATCCAAAGTTTTTTTTTTCTTTTGTTTCTCTTAATACCTCAGGACATCTGCACAGGAGATGTGTGACGTTACTGTATGTATAAATAGCTGCTTGGATAGATATTACTGGATTAAATTCACCTAAGGGACATTGAAAGTGAAGCCTGTAGTTTAGGTCTGAAGGTAAAATTGCAAGGAGTTTGTTAACAGTTGTATCTCAGCCTGGACATGGTGATTAAATAAACTTTTTTTTTTTTTTAACTTAACAATGTTTAAATGAAGAGTCCAACAAATACCAATATGGCAACTCATAAGTTAGACTGCTGGCTTGATGTGTAACCAGTGGTGATCCACGCCACGATTTTGATTTCCTCCTGCCTGTCAGTGTTTACAAGTGCAGAAAAACACAGAGAATACATTTTGGCAAGTGCGATTTCTTTTTTGTTCTCCACACTGACTGTTTACCTGCATGCAAGCAAAGCGTGCTCAAACATGATTGTCATGCAGCGTGTTTGCTATTGACCAAACTACAGACTCTGTAAACGCTACATGATTGTACATATGCAGATGTTTACAGACAATAATCAAATACTAAATAGGCTATTTATTTTTCAGCTGTCTTCACTGTGCGATCGTAAACATACAGTTATGGATCTGACTATAATTTTACTTTGATAATACTTTGTGTAAAATTTCAGTTTGGTCACTCGGCTCCAAAGACAGGAAGTTGAATCCTGTCATAATGACTAGAACTGATGAGCTAATATGACTTAAACTGTGGATGAATGTCAGACACAGGGATGAACCCTTTCCTAGTGACACATGTGAGCCACATAAAACATTTCCACTGATGATCACAGTATCTAAATCTTCTGATTATGTTTAAATGGAACTAACAGCCTACATAATAATGCACATTT